GTGAATTCATCTATTCATACAACAATACAATCCTGTCTTAATCACTATACTTTCATAAAAACTATTGATTTATGAAAATATAAGCCCTCTATTGTTGTTCTTTGTTTATGTTGGTTGGTTTTTTGTATTTTTGTACACATTTTGAAAATAGTTTTCTCTAAACATCTTCCAAAATTTTGATTGCAATTGCATTAGAAAGATCAGCTTGGAGTCTATACTTACGTTTATCATTCAAAAATTAATATGGTATATATTTTTATTTATGTGGAGCCTCTAATTTTTTTTAGGAATGTTATGTTGCTTTAATTTTAGATATCTTGGACATCTTGCTTTAATTTTAGATATATTTCGGTTTCAGTACATGGTAGAATCAATGAAGAAAATTCAGGGATAACAAAATTAAAAAGCAGATGTACGTAAACAGTAACATCAAAAAGTATGCACAAAAATTGTAATTGAAAGTAAAGTAAATATGCATAATCATGAGATGAATATCAGTAGGAATGGTTAGTACATAAAAATGATTGAAATAGCTTATTGACCTCAGTTTTCCATTTTGACATTATAAGAACAAACACAAATTAGAAAAAAAAGGAGCTCAATTCTCCCTGTTGATGATAAGAAAAAAGATTTCTTCTCTCGCTTTCTTATTTACCTTAGAAAACTTGTACTGTAAGCACTTTATTCTCTTTCAAATGTGTGTGTGTGTCTATATGTGTGTGTGTGTGTGTGTGTGTGTGTGTGTGTGTGTGTCTCCTTTTGAAAGGTTACTAGTGTCTTTCTCAGCTTTATGACTCATGAGTATATCTCACAGGGGCAGCATGTCTTTGCCATGAGAACATAGCATCCTTCTCTCCCACTTCCTGTGTAGGAGCCTAACTTCACTGAGCACCTAGTTTCGAGTTATAAAGATTTGAGTAATGAAACTACTTCCTGTCATAGAGAAGTTTACTTCTCCTCTAGATAATTAATCAGCTAACATGGACAGTTACCTCAATTATCTTGGTGGAGTTAGAATAAACTGTGATGGTCAGATTCTCTTACATGAGGACTAAGTAATATTTGTTATCTTGAAAACGTGTGTAATTGTGCCTGTATATCCAAGGCAGAAAAATTTTCCATCTGTCTGTAATCTCAGCGAACTGTCTGTTGTGTACATTCCACTCTCCTGTGATGTCTATTCAGTAATCAAAATACTGTGTCCTCTTTTAAAAAGAGGACTTCCAGATTGGGAAATGATTTTTTTAATTATATTTGTCCAATATATATTAGGATCAAATCCAGAACAGAATCATCTGAGACTTCAGAGCATACTTCAACAGAAAAAGAAACTTTCCACCTGGCTGGGATCATTTGAAGTCTATGCCCAACGTAAAAAGTATGTAGATCATGTGTCTAAAAGAGGATTGCATTGTGCCAAAGTGGGGAGAAAAAAAGAAGGGAAAGACAAACTTGCAGAAGCTTGCAGTCAGGGTACTTTATATCATAGAGCTTTTTCTCATCTGTCTCTTAGTAACTCTACCAAGCGGCTAAGAATCCTGAACATGAGCGCTCTTCCTCATTGAATAAATAAAGACAAATACGAGATTCTACTGTTCACAAGTTCAAAACTAAAAAAGTCACCTAAAAGGTAGTAAAGGACTCCAGGATTCTAAGCTCATGAGAGCCTCTTTCAAGGTCCTAAGAAGGTGTTTATTGGTCTTGTCTTTATAAAATTTGCAAAAGTACAATATTTCTGTATTCCTTTTGATAAAGAGGACCTGCCAAATCATGAAAGCTTTAGGCTTCTGCTGTGAAAGGAAAAGGAAAAATAAGCCAACAAGAAAAGGTGGGAGAGTAGCACTGAATTTATGTGTGCCCTTTTTTAAAAAAAATAGGCATGTTCCAAAAATAACCAATACAATGCTTAGGAAAAATAATTTTTTTAATTTCTGCAAAGTTATCAGAAATTCAGTTACCCAAATAACCTGAATTCTTGACATGCAACTAATACTTGCCAGGAAATAGTTCACTAATATATCTTTTCTTCCAGAAAAATACTTTATTTCACACAATTAAATAGTGGCAACTAGAAGAAAGTAGCATGATTATGACAATATTAGAGATTATTCTTTTCAAAAATGTTTCAAATGTTTCAATGTTTACATTTTAGGAATTTGTAAAAGTTCAATAGGAATATTCTTTTACAAACATATATCCTAAAAGTATTCCAGCAAAAATGTACAATGGACGTGCAATTTGATAATGGTATAAAAACATTGTTATGTGGCAGAAAGAAGTGATAATGCTTTTCCCAAAAATCCTTATTTTTAAGTCTTGGAGTTAAAATAATTCATGTATTAAGCACAGTGCCAGACAGGTGGACATGTGGGGAGGTACAGAAAGAGCAGCAGTGGAATTTAATTTCGATGCTTTGTAGTTGTGAAACCCTCCAATGTGAAAAGACAACAGAAATCCACAAGACAGCCAGAGATCAGCCACAAGATCATCCCGAATGATCCAGAAACAAGATCTCTTTCTTTGTGAAGGCAGAGAATTAGCCTGAGGGATTTACCTTCAGTGCAGGGCAGACAAGGATGTACTGTGGAGACTCAGGTGACAGGTCATGTGACCTAGACTAGCTTTCTGTATGAGCTCCATATTTTTCACCTATTCTGGAGGCTTTTTTTAGGGTATGACCTCAGTGGGTTCAGGGATGGTTACCATTTCAACGCAGTGATAAACAGAGGTAAACAATGAACACAGAGCATAGCTTGATTTTACATTCATTTAATAATAAAACAATGCAACTCAAAGGGCTTTTGAAAAAGCCTGTTGGTAAAAATAGTATCAAAATTACTCTTAGTTTTTCAAAGCAAGTGTTTTACTCAACCTGGCATGAGGTAACTTGATAGATTTGAGAATTTCATGCATTTATTAAGTAATGTTTTTTACCTGTAAAAATGTGAAAGTTGTTAAGTAAGTGTTCCAATGGCACAAAGAGTTTCTTTTACACAGTATAACAAAAGCTGTTATTTGGGAGCTTGCTACATTTGGCAAAAAAGTGCCTTGTTTGTTTTAGCACTTTCAAATATAAAATACATAAATGCTTAAAGTCAAGAACGTGCCAAAAGCATGATGAATCACGTACAGTAGATAATTTTAACACTGTGTCATGTAGTATATGCTAACAACTGGAGCCATTTAACAAGGAACTTACATAATTCATAATGAATCCAGCCATATAGCTGAGTTTTATACTTTATCGTCTCAATATCCTTAATGTAGCCGAAGAAAATAAGCAAGAACATTCATTCACAAGGATTTAGAGTGCATATCTGCCTACGTGATTTTCAAATCATCCCTTTGCTTTTCATTACTCATTTCGCAATAAAAAAAAGCACCAGGCAGATAATTAAAAGGAAAACAACAACAGAAAACAATATGAAATATGATATTCACTTACGTTTTTTAAATTAGCATTTATTTTCATAGGATTTGTTCATTTTCACAGAAGTCATGTAATTGTAACAGGTTTATTTGAAGCATTTTATACTTTTCTTCGACTTAATTATGAAATAAAAGAAACAACATAATAGTGCTGACAATATACAGTGGTTAAAACTACTATATCTGCTTGACAAAAAAATTCACTTTTAAGCTCTTGCAGTTATTTTATTTGTATACTGGGTTTAATACTCTAGAGCTTTGTTTATTGCTCAAAACTTCATTATAATTAAACCAATTTCTGTTTTGTACAGAGAGTTATTCTTGAAGGGGTATGACTGAATTTATATACATTAGAAATTATTCTAAACTAATTTCCCATTCAAGCTCTATAACATAATTATCTTCAGAATTCCTACAAAGTACGCAACAAAATCTTTTGACTCAGTTTTACCGCTGGGCTTTCCTAAATAGAGGGAGTATTTATTGTACATGTTAAAAACTCAGAAATAATAAGTATCACGTACCATTTAGGCTGCTGACATTCTACTCGGTCTAGGTTTATTAGTTGTGCCACTAATGACAATTCTGTCATGTAATTACTTGTTGTGGGCCCCTGGCATGGACAGAAGACATTCAACAGCACCCCAATCTCCATACACTAGATGGCATTAACAATTCCATAGTTTTGACAACCAAAAATATCTCTAATATTGCCAATGTCTTCATGGAGATAAAATTATCCCCTGTTGAAATTTCTGCACTGGTCATTAGGAATTTTTATAAATAAAGAGCTAGGGGTATAGCTCCATGGGAGCTTAACCTACATGAGGCTTTGGGGTTCAGCTCAGTATTAAATTAATGAATCAATGTTAACTAATTACACAACAATAGAAGTATATAATATCTTTTACTTTCCCTTGGTTAATACCATTTCTACTATGCATAGCATAACTATGGCATTTTTTTCCTTTGCCCATTGCTACAAAACACAATTGTGAGACAAATTCAGGAGGGCGCTGTGTTATCAGGTATGGGGGGATGCAGTGCTGCTACAGGGCACCATCTAACCAATTCCAGACAGAGGAACTGTCACTGAGTTGTTCCATGTCCCACAGGAAAATCTCCATCTCTTGCACATATGAATGCAGAAATTGGGAGCTTTTCAAGTAAAAAAGAATAGGCTTTGTATAACTCAAAGTGATTTTCAATGAAATAGAACATTTACATTTGTCCTTGCTATTTTCCCGGGGTGTGCCATGACAGAATCTTCACCCAGGGTGAACCTCCCACGGATACCTCATCACACTGGCCCGCCTGTTGTCATTTTTGATGTGGCCTTGCAGAGTCCTGCTCAGAGCTGACTTAGCTCTGGGCTGCTCCTTACAGAAAAAGTTAACAAGCACAGGCATTGAGGAACGGCTCTCCTGCAGGGATTCTGACCCGAGGCCACAGATTCAATAGTGAGTTTATAGCTTCATAGCATGTTTTTAATTTAGTCACCTCAAAGATTTGTATTTCTCAGACTTGCAAACTGCCCACCCCACCCCCGCCCATCCCTTGAGGGTCCCCTACCCCCACTGCAACCCCAGAGGAAGTTTCTCTTGTAAAGAACAGAGAGTCCAGTTAGGTAACTAATGAGCTACATGCGCTCTGCTTGATACACGGCTTTTTCCCTCTTCAAAAGCAGCTCATAGGGGTGCTTTGTGTTTGTGCACAGCAAAAGTCACCACAAATCACTCCCTACTCTGCCACCTCCAACACATTATTTTCTATTTATCAGACAGGATCACTCTGAGTAGCTTTTCTTCTGGATGTTGACAACTGAAATTTTAGGTAAACCTGAAAAGAAGAAAAGAGTTATTCATTAAATTAATTTTTTACAAAAATTTCACATGCTGATTACTTAATATGGTGGCTTTTTTCAATCTAATATGAGTTCTCTTATTGATATGCTTGGCTGTGCAAGTCAGTGTTGTGTAGTTTTTCCTGGGCATTGTGGAAAGTTCTGCAGAACCTCTAACATTTACCCATCAGATGCTGGGAATAGCCCCCTTTGATTCCTGGTGGAGACAGCAGGACCAGATGTCCCTGGGATATGAAACTGCCCCTGGCATAGAACTTTAGGTCTAATGTAGCACAGGCTAAGTATTATTTGATTGTGAATTAAAATCTTATGAGCACTATGCATTGACTGCTAGACATAAATTATAGATAGAAAGTCAGATGCTTTATCTTTTTCCAAAAAGGAAAACTTACAGGGAGCTCATTTTTTAAATTGTGCTTCATATATTGACAAACATGAGAAAGAGAAAAATCTATTTAGTAAGAAGGCCCAGTTTTTCAGCTTTTGTGAGTAGTTAAACAGTAAATACATTTATTTCATAGTCAAGAAAAATTGACAATTGCCTTCAGTTTAATATGGCTCTTCCAATTTCTGATCTAATCCAGGACACTGATGTTGTTGAGTGTTCCAGCACTTAAGTTAAGGGAGCATGTTGTTAATCATTTGTGGTTGAATAATAAGGAGTCAACTGATTTCAGATTTTTTAATAAGAACATTCTAGAAAGGCAACAATTAACAAATGAATTCTTCAAAATTAAATCAATTCATGTGACCTTGAATTCACTAATACTGTACATAATAAGGTACATTTGTTGCTAGTATTTCAACTAAATTCACTTGACTTTTTAAAAAAGGATGTGACTTTCAATGTGATTGAACAATTTGTGATGTGAGTCAGGTAAGCAGTTACATTAGAGCTTACACACTGAACTTTACAAGTATTATCTTTGACACATAAACTTTAAATAAGGGTCATTTACTGTATTCCACTGGTAAAACTTTGGTGAGCAGAACAGAGGTTGACACCTAGAAAGTAGAATAATTATAAAACTGTAACAAAAAAGAAATCATGGCACTTACAAATGGGATGATATCTTACCCTTTATAACTTTTCAGTTAAGAGGACTATTTTGTTATTACCCAATATGGTACAAAAATTAAACAATAAAATACCAATGAACAAAAAGCAAACATGCTATAATTAATGTTGGTGCTATCTGAAACGGGAATATAGGATGAATTTTGTCACATAACAGGTGAAATAAAGTAAGACGAGGGCCTTTGCTAAAATTTGGAGAGTTTCTTCTAGAAAGCATTAGAAAAGAATGTTGAGCTCAGGAAAATTTCTCCTACTGTGCAGAATTTATCAAGGCCATACATGGATGGAAATACAGCATTGTACTTCAAGGTTAATAAATATGATGTACTTTAAATTGCTAACCTTGTTGAAAATATGGGTTCAAAAGGATTATCTCCAACTAGTGCATCAGTTGTGGGAAAAACCATCATTCACATGCACTACTTTGATTTACCATGGGTTATAAATCAGAGTAATTACAAAAGATGAACCAAGAAATGTCAAAAGAACAGTATCATTCACCGCCAAGAATATGAAAAGTCCATGCTTTTGTCTAAGATTCTTAACACTAATGAGAGTAGTAAGAAAACACACATTTTGTGTTACCTCTACAGTGTGTAAATGTCTTTGTGCTTTGGTAAACTGTTTGGAAAACCATATATGCTCCTATTGGAAGCTTCTTTTTTCCTATTTATTTTGTTGCACAGTCAAAAGTTAGCCTTCAAATCTCATTGTGTGTGTGTGTGTATGTGTGTGTGTGTGTGTGTGCACGCGTGCACGAGTGTGTGCACCTGTGAGCATGTGTTTTGGGGTTTGAATTCACCACCTTCTCACTGAGCTACATTCTCAGTTATTTCTTACTTTCTTTTTATTTTGCAACAGTAATTGCAAAATTGCAAAATTACTAAATTGATTCTCATGAGTATGAATTTGCAATCCTCCTGTCTCAGACTCCCACTGTTCTGGGATTACAGGCATGTGTCACCACACCCAGCTTCTAATATCACTTTAAAATGATAAGAATGTAGATCCAACTAATAACTTTAGACAAAACTTTGATGATTAAAGTGGAATGACCATGTGAAATTACAGAATTGAAAATATCCTGATGTTTAAGGCATTTTATACTTCCATATGTATTATTTCAGTGTTAACATGGCTTTATTAGTCAATTTTAGTTGGTCTCTTGACTGGATAATCACATTACCTAAATGGTATCAAAGAACCATTTGCAATGTGATTTCCATGGAAAGGAAGAACTTATTCAGAGCTTCCACAAATCTTTTGGAAACTACTTGTTATGCTTCAGTGTGCAGAGGTGAGGCTTTTGGAAACTGGATCGGGAGGGCTCTAACTTCATCAGTGAACCAACTCATTAATGGATTCATAATTTAATATTACAGTGAGATGATTGATATTTTAGATGTGGGGTTTAGTGGAAATTCGTGTGTCATGGGCCTTGACCTTGGGAACTATATCTTGTTCTCTGTGCCTCTCTTTGGCTCTTTGCTTCTTGACTGCCATCTCCCATCCCCTCCCATCGTGATGCTCCTTTTTTGTCACAGGGCTAAAAGCAATGGAGCCAGCTGATTATGGACTAAAACTGTGAATCTATTACTAAGGGGAACTCAACTTCTTCCCTTAGGTTGTATTTCTTAGGTCTTGTGTCACAGTGATGGAAAGCTAACATACTACCCTAACAATAATTTAGAATAATAAAACCCTATCACTCCTTTCACCTAATACAAACATGTGTATATATGGTAAGCACTATCCTGTTGACTAAGTGCGTGATGTTAACAAAACAGTTACAGTCTCTCCTCCTCCTCAAGAAGTTCTCAATTTTCTGGGGTGTGTCTGTGTTAAGAATCTTGAGAGTTGCATAATAGGAAGGTCATTTAAAAAAGCAAGGAGGGACCAAATCTGGCTCCTCTTTTTATCCCTTTCTCTATGCTATGGTTTAGATCTAAAATGTCCCAAAAAGTTTCTTATTTAGAGGTTAAACCTGGTCACAGGAATAGGTTACTTGTGTAAACTGGAAGGGTGTGTTCTCATCCCAGCTCCTTTGCTCTCTGACCATCATGAAGTGAACAGCTTTCCTGTGCCATGCCCTTCGGCCGCGCTGTTTCTGCCTTGGAGCCCACGAATCATGGACTGAAACCATGTACCAAGGTAAACCTCACTTTCTGTAAAGTGTGAGTGTTGGGTATTTTTTCCTAGCAATGGGAAAGAGATTAAAACACTCTATATCTCTTGTTATTTAAAAAAAAAGCTTTTAATCTCACTTAACGTTATTTTTTTGGTATGTCTGGCCATGAAACCAGGGATCTTCCTTCATGTGTCATGTAAATACTCTAACACCCAAGTACATTTAGCCCCCTAACTTACATTTAAAAAAATCTCCAGCTATAGTTTATTATGTTACACAAATGTTACAGAGAACTAAAAATGGAAGTTAGAAAATCAGACATACTGCAATTTTCAAGATAAGAAGTGAATATATTTAGAAATAAGGATGAAAAGAGTAAGATAAAGGAAAATGGGCAGTTTAAACACAATTGTTGGGTTAAATTGACAGAGCAAAAGCACTGAACATGATGGGGGTGTAATTGGAAGGAAGAAAGATTCAAACTTGAAAGATACTCTCTATGAAAATTAAGTTATTCTCATAGCACTTTACCACAGAAACAGAAGAAAATATCAAAAGTGGAAGGACTTCTTAGTAAACTTCATATTATGAGATTTTTAATTTTTAGTTGAAAAATAGTTGTTATGTTGAAACTGATCAATGGAGTAATTCCCAGAGGGAAAATGAATTCAAACTTTTTTTTATCTCCTCCCGTTCTTTGTTTCTGTCTTAGATACACCTTTTTTCCTATTCATACCCTCCAATGTGTAAGTCATGTGACACCATCTGATTAATAATGTAGTTTGGTTATTTCCACTAAAGTCTGAGTAATATTGGCAGCATACTTGCTTAGAGACTATGTCTTAGTGTATGTTGTGTTGCTATGATAGAATATCTGAAACCAGGTAAAATGTGAAGAGCATAAATTTATTTCATTGCAGATCAGGATGATGGAAAGTCCAAAATCAAAGTGCTATATATCTAGTAAGAAACTTTTCAGTGTGTCCTCATAGGGTGAAAGAAGGGAGAGCAAGGGGGGAAAAAACCCATCTTACATAAATCCATTCATGAAAGCAGAGTCCTTAGCACCCAAACTCTGCCCAGAAGGCTCCACTTATCAACAAGGTTGCATGGAAGGTTAAACTTCAAACTGTTAATTTTAGAGGGCACATTTCTATGATAAAAACTAATGATCAAATCTCATTAAAGAAGAGTCTGAGCATTCAGCCCTTTCTATGCAGAGAACTCAGATGTCCACACTACGACTGGCCATTCTGGGGCTGTTCAGTAAAGATCTTCTATTTGAACTCATGATTTCCAGCAACAAATGTGTCTAGAGTGCTTGTCTAACAAGATTTTTTCTCCTACCTGACTAGTCCTTCCTGAGCTCTTGCTGATTCAGTTACAACTAGCCAAACTCTATAGTTTAAAATGCACCAGAAATTGTCCTTTGACTCCTTTATGCTCATAGTTCCTAGTGATCTCCACAAAATCTCGTAAGTATTGTAGGGGCTCAAATTTGAGTTATTTATAATTCAAATAACTTCACTTAAATATCTGACTGCCAACATCAGGAATCTCCAACTCCAGGGCCACAGAGAGGCTAAGTTGCATTGTCATGAGTTTTAGGCTAGCCCAGACTACATAGTAAGTTTATGGCCAGCCTAAACTACAGAATGAGATGCTGTCACAGACAAGCCAGGCATGGTGATGCACGCCTCTAATCTCAGCACTCTGAAGGCTGAAGCAGGAGGTGGTTGCAAGTTCAGAACCAGCTTGGGCTACAAAGT